GCAGAGGGGAAGGTGGAACGTGTTCTCCACTCTCTGACCTTCTTGGTGGAGGATAACTTGCCCTTTGATGTGTTATTAGGCATGGATTGGGGTGAGTCTGTGCATGCGGATTTAAAGTTAAGAGAACATGAATGTTGGCTTCCAAGTCCGCAAGGAGGTAAGAAGAAAATCCGCCTTTTTCATGAATCTGGTAAGGAAAGCAGYCTRGCTCATTGTTGTATGAGTGCCCCCGCGTTCGCCCGTCATGTGAAAAGGTATAATTTGTACGACCAAGTCTTTGTTGCATATTTGCGCCCAGTAAAGGAAGGAAAAACTAAAGAAGAAGTCAGATCTGAAGAAATTGAGAAAATCCTGAAAGAGTTCGCAGATGTGGCAGAAACCCCAAGCGGTGTAGTGGAAAGATCAATCCGCCACTGCATTGATATCATTCCAGGGAGCGTGTCCCCGAAGGGGCCTATCTATCGTATGTCGCCCCAGGAATTAGATGAACTGCGAACCCAACTCGACGAGTTGTTGAAAAATGGTTGGATAAGACCTAGCTCCTCGCCTTATGGCGCGCCTGTGCTATTTGTGCCTAAAAAGGACGGCGGCGTTCGCATGTGTATAGATTATAGGAGGTTAAATRATATAACAGTGAAAAATGTCGAACCATTACCGCGAATAGACGATTTGCTAGATCGTGTGCAGGGAAGCAAAATATTTTCAAAGATTGATCTGAARTYCGGCTATCATCAAATTGAAGTTGAGCCGGAAGACCAACACAAGACTGCCTTTAGAACAAGGTATGGGCATTATGAATTCGTAGTTTTGCCCTTTGGTCTAACAAATGCCCCTGCCACTTTCCAAAGAACGATGAACGAACTCTTTCGTGAATGGCTCGATAAATTTGTTGTGATTTATTTAGATGACATTTTGATTTTCAGTAAAAATGAAAAAGAGCACGCTGAGCACCTTCGACTTGTGCTAAATAAATTGAGGGAAGAAAAACTTAAGATCAACCCAAAGAAGTGCGAATGGGCTAAGCGTCAAGTGCTATACCTAGGACATGTGATTGATGGAGATGGGGTCAAACCGGAAGATGCCAAGATAGCAGCAATCAGAGATTGGCCGAACCCCCGCACCTTGACTGAGTTGCGGTCGTTCCTTGGGTTAGCCAACTACTATCGAAAGTT